GTTGCTGTGCATGTAAATACTTCTCTGTATACCTTCCTCTATCCACCCATAATACAGATAGTCTGATGTATATAGTTTGTATATATTCTTGCAAAATGTGAATATCGATTTATGCATATGCATCTTAGTTCATGTAAGTGACATTTATGGTTCCGTGCTGTTCCTTGCTTTTCTCATGCTCACATGCTTTAATATCCATCGCTGCCACTCATGTGTATTCAGTCTGTTTTTCCTCCTTACCACAGAGTGTCATTTTAGCCAGCCACCCTCCTGGGGAAGGTATCCAGGCTGCCTCTAACTCCACAACAACACTGAATGCATAGTCTCAAACGCGTTGCCTTACGGCCCTGTGTGGAGATCTCTCTGGGGTCTATAACTAGGAGGGGGATTGCTGGCCCATGGTGGGTGTGTCCCATGGGGTAAGGGGATACTGGGATACCCTGAAGGCAGCGTCATCATCCTGCCACCAGCCATGCAGGGACATTCCATGTGCCCACATCTCATGTGAGCCAGCTTTCTAAGTTTGTCAGTCAATGGGGATAAGTGATGGCTCATGGTTCTTTAGGTTTGCACACCTGTGAATGCTGAGAAGATTGAGCATCTCCATATATGCTAGTTAGTTCGGGAGCTTCCTCTACTGAAAACTGCCAGTTCGTATCATTGACCCATTTTTCTTTTGGGATTGCTGTCTTTTATTATTAACAGGAATATTATATGTCTCTGTGTGTGTGTGTGTGTGTGTGTGTGTGTGTGTGTGTGAGAGAGAGAGAGAGAGAGAGATTAATCCTTTGTGGGTAAACATTGTGAATTCCTTCTTCTGTTGTGCCATCTGCCATTAGCTGTGTCCATAGTTCCCCTTACTGAAAAGGAATTATTAATTTTGATAAAATGTAATCCATCACCTTTTTACCTACCTTATGGTTTGTGTTTTTGAAGTTTCATTGAAGAAAACCTTCCTCACATTTAGGTCACAAAGATATTCTCTTACACTTTCTTCTAGTTCTTTTTCTTTCTGTAACTACAAAAACCTTTCTACTATCTTTATATTTGCATCTTTAATCCATCTAAAAATTTGCCATTTTATGAGGTGTTGGGTGAGAATCCTGTGATTTTTTTCCATATAGTGGGTTTGGCTTACCAACGCCATTTACTCCACCATTCCAGGGTCGCCACTGATGTGGGGATCCACCTTTGATGCACATTGGATTCCCTGTCTCTATATGAGTTTGTCCAGTGGCCACCTATTACAATCATTGGTTTTTACTGCTATGGCTTTTGTAGTATCTGAAGTCAAGTTTTCCTTCTCCATTTCCAATTCCTTTTTTAAAGTGAATGAACTTTTTTAAAATATAAACTTTAGGATAAATTCATAAATCTCCCCAAAAAATCCAAAAAGGAGTTTTTACATAGGATTGCTTTGAACTTACAGATAAACTTAGGGAAAAATCAACATCTTTGTAGAATTGAGATATTCCACACAAGAGCTATTGTGTTTAAGGCTTCACCAGTTATCCTGACACAAAACTGGGGCAACAAAGCCTTGCTGTAAATATCTGGAACTCTGAGAATGTCTTGTGTTGCTTTTGCTTTTGTGACTTGGGGATATCTTTGTTGCAAACAAAACAAGATAAAACACAACAGAAATCCACTCAGATTGATTCACATTAAGATGGAGGCATGTCACGAAAGACAGAACATCTGGAGGGCATCTTCGGGATCTGTCAGGCTCAGCTGGTCCTCCTGGGCACAGGCCTGGCCAGTCAGAGTCTGAGGCTCCACGTCTGTGTCTCAGGGCATCCAGGGCTGCCTATAGAGTCTCTTCACTTACATGCTCCTTCTCCTGGCTTTTTTAGCAGAATTTCAGCCTGCATGTAGCTCTGGTATCAATGACACAGGCCTCTACTGGATCTAAAATTCTCAGGAAAATACATGGTGACCCCAAGCCAGTCTGAATTCAAGCCCATTGTCATGGTGGGAATGGGTTTCATTTCTCGCTGCATGCATCCCTCATGCATCTGGAGCCTTTGCTAAGGTTCCAGAGTTACTGACTGAGATTTCTGACCTTTTTTCTCCTTTCTGTTTGGTTTCAGAGTGGAGAGCAGCCCAAAAATATGCAGGTAACTGAAGCCAGGAAACTGATTTGTGTTTTGGGTTGGCTGGATCTTAAACAGAAGGGAGGTGGAGAGATCTGAGATTAGAGGTTGGGGCTTTCTGGGAGCCGAGTATGGGGCCTGCACACCAGACACACACACACTTGCAAACACGCCACATGACACATATGCCTGCATGTGTAGGCACACACGCGTGGTTGCATGCACACGCACGTGCACACACACACGCACACGTGAGCTCCCCAAACACGTCGCTCCTCGGGGTTACACTACGTTTGTTTCCATCTGGCTCGGGGCTATTTGCAGGCGAGAGTGCAGAGTTTATAAGGAACCTCCCGGATCCTCTGACAGAAGGGGTCCCCTAGGTTCCCATCTGTCAGATGGATGGGGTGTTGAAATGTGGGGCACTGCACTAGATGAGCTCAAAGGTCCTTTTAAAATCCTTTTTAAAACTTTCTGAAGGACTGGATGTAAAAAAAAAAAAAATCCAAAAACTTCTGTAAAATGACGCTCAGTGCTCTCCTGATTATGTCAAGGTCACACGGGGTGGTGCCACCAGCAGGAATAGAACCCGTCATGGGTCCTTCCCCTTGACCGGGACGTGGCTCCCTTCCCGCCAGCCTGCTTCCTTGTTATCTCTGGTATGGAGTTCAAGCAAGGGCAGGATTCCTTGTCACTATCAAACACGCAGGAGGGACTTACAACATGTCACTTCAGTCCCGGGGAGGGGGTTTGCAGGGGCGAGGGTCGGAGTAAGGGGTTATTTCCCTGATTATTGCACCAAGAGAACTAGAGGTTTGTCCGTCTCGGGGAGGAGACGGACCGGCCCGGACCGTCCTGGGCGCGCACTAACGCTGCGGCTCTGCGCAGTGGACGTGACTCTGGATGCGGCCTCCGCGCACCCCGCCTGGAAGTGTCCGAGGATGGCAAGAGCGTGTCTTCCCGCCGGGCGCCGCCAGGCCCGCCGGAGCGACCCGCAGCGGTTCTCGGAGCAGACGTGCGCGCTGAGCCTGGAGCGGTTCTCCGCGGGCCGCCACTACTGGGAGGTGCACGTGGGCCGCCGCAGCCGCTGGTTCCTGGGCGCCTGCCTGGCCGCGGTGCCGCGCGCGGGGCCCGTGCGCCTGAGCCCGGCGACCGGCTACTGGGTGCTGGGGCTGTGGAACGGCTGCGAGTACTTCGTCCTGGCCCCGCACCGCGTGGCGCTCCCCCTGCGCGTGCCTCCGCGGCGCCTGGGCGTCTTCCTGGACTGCGAGGCGGGACAGCTGTCCTTCTTCAACGTGTCCGACGGCTCCCACATCTTCACCTTCCACGACACCTTCTCGGGCGCGCTGTGTGCCTACTTCAGGCCCCGGGCCCACGACGGCGGCGAACGTCCGGATCCCCTGACCATCTGCCCGCTGCGGGTTCGAGGGACGCGCGTCCCCGAAGAGAACGACAGTGACACGTGGCTGCAGCCCTACGAGCCCACGGACCCCGCGCCGGACTGGTGGTGAGGCGCCCTCGTGGCCGCAGGACTGGCCCGGAGGCTCCCCGGATCCCAGGCCCGCGCTTTGCTCTCCTGCTCCGGCTGAAGTGAGCAGGTGCACCAGCCAAAATGTCAGCCAGGGGGACAAAGAGGGGGACCTTTGCCTACGTAGATGCGTATGTGTAATGCGATTTTCTTCAAGGAAAGGAGACACGTCCAAAACTCATATGCGGATTGTGGGGCTGAGCGAATGAGTACAAAGACATCCACGTCGCTGAGAGCCGGGGTTGCCTGCGGTGGGCGGTGGGAAAGAAGCCAGCGTGGAAGAAAGACGGGAGAAAGCTTTGGTGGCTGCATTAGAGGATCAGTTAATTTGCATAGTTTTATATTTTTTTGTATACGTTTGCTAGCTCTAAAAAAGTCCAGACGCAATGACACTTCGTAAGCAACGAGTTCACCTAAGTAAGGCTCAGATCATAGTTTTAAATAGCATTTCCATTAAAATGAAGTTGAAGAACAGCTGCTTCTGGGGCTGGGGCAAAAATTTCAAGGTGAGCCTGGAGCATTGTGTGTGGTAAAGTAAAATAAGCGCTCAAAACGTGACGGCAACATGGCAAAAGGGTAGAGGAGCCAGGCTGAAGGGACCTCACTGACCAATTGTGGGACAATTTGAACATCAGGATGAATAATGACAGGAGAGATGATAACACACTGAATAAAAACATAATCCTTGAGTTCATGCTGATACTCAAATTTCTTTTTAAAAAGAAGAAACAGGAAGGTTTCTTTTAGAGGTGAAGTCTAATTATTGGTGAGAGTCTTTTGGAGAACAGGGTATTTTCAGTCTCAAAGCAGTGACCTTATACACTACTTATAAATTTGAAAGGGGAAATTTACAAATGGAAATTTACTTTACAATGGAGACGTCTACCAGATCATCCAAGTGATTAAATTTAACACCATCAATGATGGCACCGAGGACATCATTAGTTTGACAATTGGGGAAAATGAAACACGAACAGGATATCACTGGAGAAGTGTTCTACACCCCCTACCCCCAAGAGAGTCTCTCTGTCGGCCAGGCCGGGGTGCAGCCTCAACCTCCTGGGCCCAAGTGATCCTCCCACCTCCGCACACAACACCATGCCCAGCTAATTTTAAATTTGTTATGGAGACGGGGTCTCACTTTGTTACCCAGGCTGGTCTCAAACTCCTCACTCAAGCAATCCTCCCACCTGGGCCTCCCCAAATGCTGGATGTACAGGCATGGGCCACTGTGCCCGGCTTCATTTTCAGAGTGAGGCATTTGTATTATGGCTATGTAGGAGAATATTCTTGTTCTCAGCAAACATACTGAAGTTTTTTAGATATAAATTACCACAGTGTCTGCCACTGAATTTCCAGTGACTAAGTGGAAAAATATAAACATATTAATATAAAGAAAGAGACAAGTCAAATGTAGCAAAATGACAACACTTGGTGAATCTAGGTGACTAGTCGACAGATATTCATTGTACTATCAATGCAGCTTTGCTGTGGGTTTGAAATTTTGCAACTGAAAGAGCTGGGGTGGCGGGGAGAAGGATACACCAAAAAGCTTATTGATTACCTTTGGATGGGAAAATGGTTGGTAATTGTATTTTCTAAATGTCTTCTTTGTATTTTTTAACGTTCAATAATGTATATGTATCAGTTCTGTAATAAAGGGGAAGAAGCTGTTTTTTTTTTTAATATTCATCTTCAAATCATTCATTTGAAAGGAACTATAATGAAACTGCTGGACGATCTCCTAGGGCATTGTTTCAGGGTACAATTCAGAGGAGTAATGTTCTCCTCCCCTTCCCCTTATTCCAGGCAGAGCTTTCCTTGCCCATCTTGCTTGAGAAGGAGAATGAGGAAGGGAGACTAGTCGCAGCCAAGCTTTCTAACTGGTCTTTCCTCCTTCTTCCCTCTTTCCCTCTCCTTTTCTTTTCCTCTTCATGGGGACTGAGATTTCTACCAGGGCCTTCAGCACCAGGATGGGAATGGATGGGGCAGGGACACCTCTGGGGATGAGCTTTCACCCCACAGGCCCAGGAGTTTGGTTACACACCAGAGGAGGGTGTACAAATAAAAAAATTCACGAAGTGTGCTGAGAGTCAGGTTTCTGTATCAGTGAAGGGAAATACGGAAATACAGAAAGGGGAAAGCAGAGGGTGAGAGTAAGTCTAAGGTGGGCTGGAATGAGAGGTATCAATGTGAACGCGTGGTCTTTACTGTATGTAGAGAGATGGAATGCACGCACACACGTGGACAGATACATAGATGTGTGTGCATGCAGCTCGTTCCCAGCTCTGTCTTGTTTGAAGGCTTAGCAACAACAACACCCCAGTACCGATGGGCACACCAAGTCCCAGAACTTAGTTTTTAGTACTATTTTCAGCAAAAGGAATGAAGTCTCCTTGGAGAAATGGTTGAGTCCAAGGCTAGGGCAGGGAAAATACAAGAAGAGCCTACAATATCCTACAACAGAAAATAATAAAGTAGATTGGACAGAAGAGCCAAGTCAAATGGATTTCGACGTCAGTATGGATTTTGAACCCCTGAATAAAATAGGAATCCATAAGTATTTCCCCACTGATACACATACATACACAAACAAATTCATGGAGAGAAGAGAAAGCTCTGCCCTACAATAGGAGTCTCAAAATATTACTTCTTAACTCGTAAGTACAAAACACGTACCAATTAACTTCACAGTGGAGGAGGCCGGCAGATGCCACCTTAGCCAAATGACAGAAGTTAACATCGCCAGATGGGAAAACAGTTTACATCACATTCTTCCTGATACAATGCAGTGGAGAATACAAACGGCATCACTTTTGAGGTATTCCTGCACCCAAAAACGCATAAATCAGGAGGAAACATTAGACAAACTGACGGGTACTCTTCAAAAATGACAAGGTCCTGAAAGACAGGACAACACTGAGGAACTGCTTCACACTAAAGGAAACAGGAGAACTAAATGCAATCGGTGACCCAGGATGGGATCCTGGATCTATAAAAAACATCACTGGGCCAGACAAGTTGGCTCAGGCCTGTAATCCCAGCACTTTCGGAGGCTGAGGTGGAATGATTGCTTGATTCTAGAGAGAAAGAGAGGGAGATTATTGGGGGAAAAATGGGGCATTTTGGAAGAAGTGTGTGGATTAAATAATATTGGATAAATGTTAATTTCCTGACTTTGATGTAGAAGAATGCTCTTATGAAAATGCACACTTACATATTAAGGGGTAAAGGATTATGATGTTTGTACTTTATTTTCAAATGGCTCATTAAAACATATAGTAATATAAACAGAGAGAGAGAATGATAAAGAAATGCAGTTTTGTCTGATAAGTGTTTAATAACTGGCTTTCTGAAAAAAAAATATATTGAGCCGATTTCCCTGGTGCAAGCACTCCCACTATGATTGACTTCAAGCTGAAGATGTGACAACACTGAGGGCAGACTTGGGAAGTGCCTTAGTCAGCTGTGGCTGCTGTAACAAAATGCCATACACTGAGTGGCTTGTAAACAACAGAAATGTATTTCTCACAGTTTTGGAGGCTGGAAGTCCAGGATCAGGGTGCCAGCACGGTCAGGGTTGGCGAGGGTTCTTTTCTTGGTTGCAAACTGCTGACTTTGCTTTGTATCCTCACATGGCAGACAGCAAGAGAGTTCTCAGGGTCGTTTATATTTTTGATTTTAAATTGAGACAAGGTCTTGCTATGTTCCCCAGGCTGGTCTTGAACTCCTGGCCTCAAGTGATCCACCTACCTCAGCTCCCAAAGTACTGAGATTACAGGCATAGCCACCTCACCCCGCCCCCACCAGGGTCTGTTTCTTTTTTGGTTTTTGTTTTGTTTTTGAGACAGAGTCTCACTCTATCGCCAGGCTGGAGTGCAGTGGCATGATCTCAGCTCACAGCAACCTCCACCTTCTGGGTTCAAGCGATTCTCCTGCCTCAGCCTCTAGAGTAGCTGGGACTACAGGCGCCCACCACCACACCCAGCTAATTTTTGTATTTTTAGTAGAGACAGGGTTTCACCATGTTGGCCAGGGTGGTCTCGATCTCTTGACCTCATGATCTGCCTGCCTCGGCCTCCCAAAGGACTGGGATTACAGGTGTGAGCCACCCAGCCCCTGACAGATCTGTTTTGATAAGTGTATTAATCCCATCGTAAGGGCTCCACCCTCATGACCTAATCCCCTCCCACAAGTCCCACCTCCTACTCCATTGCACTGGGTGTTGGGATTTCAACATGTGTGTGGGGCGTGGTGGAGAGGGACACATTCACCACAGCAGGAAGAGACACCCACGACCAGCCCTCATGAGATGCCAGGTCCAGACACCGCTGTCTGTGAAATTCTAGAAGGAGATTGTAATTTGTTTCTCCATCAAGTCAGATAAGTGCATTTTAAGCTTATGAAAATATTCTTGGTCACCTGTTGGGAGAAAGCTATTCCCCTTATTAACACTTGATATTCAGAAAATGCAAGTTTTATTTTCTACAGTCATTTGCATTAGTGTGTAAATATTTGGGGTTCTTACGCATGAATGTTTTTGTGATAACAAGGTTATTATTGGATAAATGTTAATTTCCTGATTTTGATGTAGAAGAATGCTCTTAAGAAAATGCACACTTACATATTAAGGGATAAAGGATTATGATGTGATAATTAAAGATATGTTATAACATTAAAAATATGTTTCCTCTCCATCTGTAGTTATCATTCCTTGAAGACTGTATTTATGTGATAAATAAGAAAAGTAAACATATAGCTAATATAAAAAACAACATTAAACTGTGTTTAAATAATCAGTGGCTCTGATCCACCCACTTTCAATGATGGGAAGGCTGCTTTCCTGTGCAGAGGGCTGTGGGCAGCCAGAGGCCCCAGCTGGAATGGCATGAAGTTCAAACCCCTCTCTCACAAGGGCTGGCAGCGGCACACAGCCACGTGGTTCAGCCAGCCAACCAGAGATCCCATCACCCCGACCCCCGCGCCTGGGCCCACCCCGCCCACAGTAAGGTGCCTCATGCTAACGCATCACACCAAAGTAGGCAGGGTCTGAAGCCTGGAGGAGCTAAGGGTAGCCGGCATTCACAGAAGCTGGGCCAAACCGTTGGCATCTCTGTGGATCCAACACGGCAGAACAAGTCCACTGAGTCCCGCAGGCCAATGTACAGCAGCTAAAGGGGCACGGGACCAAACGCATCCTCTCCCCAGGAAGATGCGCGGGACCAAACGCGTCCTCTCCCCAGGAAGGTGCGCGGGACCAAACGCATCCTCTCCCCAGGAAGATGCGCGGGACCAAACGCGTCCTCTCCCCAGGAAGATGCGCGGGACCAAACGCATCCTCTCCCCAGGAAGGTGCGCGGGACCAAACGCATCCTCTCCCCAGGAAGGTGCGCGGGACCAAACGCATCCTCTCCCCAGGAAGCCTTGGCCCCCAGAAAGGGAGACGGTTCAGCAGAAGAACTGAAATTGGCCACCAGGTTGACAGGACCAGTTATGCCCATCAGGAACGGCTAGGGGAAGGAGAAAGTCTAAATCATCACCGAGGAGGAGAACTTCAAAGCCTTTGCTAGTCTCTGCATGGCCTGTGCCACGACCTGGCTCTTCAGCATATGGAGAGCTGAGACAAGCTGCAGGATGTTTAAAAGAGAAAACAAATACCTGCTGGGGACTTTAAAAAAAGGGGGGGAGGCATACCCAGCCTTAAACTGAGAGAGACCCTAGACATTCAGGTATACATTTTGTGAACCAGGAAGGCCCCAGGGGAGGCCGCCCAGAAGGCTGGAGCATGCAGGGTAAAAACCCACGTTTCCCTCCTGCAAGTGGCCCCAGGCCAGTGCATACAAATAGCACATGGTGGATGTCCTTCTCCCTACTGTTCACGTTTTCCATGCAGCTAACCCTCAAAGTAGGAAAAGGGTGAACACAACACTTTTGTGTGTATCCCTGTCCAGTCTACGGAATACACCAGTGCTGACCCTGCCTGGGAGGCTCCCGCTGCTTGAGCGTGCCTGAGGATGGGAAGCTCATTGGTGGCAGTGTTACAGGGTCTCTGTGGTGCTGATTTTGCTGGCTGGTCCTGAGGATGGGAAGCTCATTGGTGGCAGTGTTACGGGGTCTCTGCGGTGCTGATTTTGCTGGCTGGTCCTGAGGATGGGAAGCTCATTGGTGGCAGTGTTATGGGATCTCTGCAGTGTTGATTTTGCTGGCTGGTCCCGGGACTTTTATAGACCTTAGAGGGGAGGAAGCGCATGCCGACTGATTCCATGGGTGGCATGGGTGGGTCCAGAAAAGGTACCACGAGTCCCCACTCAGGTCCGCAGGACTGGCAGCCCAGCCATCAAGGCCCTCCCTGGCCTGAAAGTGGGACCTTTCCACAAAAAGGTATGTAACATTTTCAATTTTCTATGTCATCTGTAAATTGTTACAACAAATCCAGGTAGACTGCGGTATATGGAGACTGCATAGTGTGAATTCTAAAGTTAAGAAAAAAACAACAAAAGAAAATAGCAAAAACCAAAGATTTATACTGAAAAAATCAATAGAGGTGATAAAATAAAATACCAAACAATTTTGATTAGTCCAATAGGATGCAAATAGGAGGAACTGTGTTTTTTGAAAAGGGTACAGATATGTGGGAAACAAAAAGCAAATGTTAGATTTAAATCTTACCAGAGAGATAGCTATAACAAATAAAAATGAACTAAATACTTCAATTAAAAAGAAGAGATTGACAAACAACTCACTTTAAAAATAAAGAATTGATAAGACAGTAAAGTAATAGAAAAAGATACACCTTGCAAAAAGATATTCCGTGTGCGTGGATACACAAAGATAGCAGGGTTAGCTATACTTACATCAGACAAAATAGTTTTTAGGTCAAAAACTGTAAAAAGAGATGAAGAAAGTCATTATATAATAATATTTCAATACATTAAGAGGATATAACAATTGTAAATACATATGCACCCAAAATTAGAGCACTAAATATATAAAGCAAATTTAAAATAATTTAAAGGGAGAGATAAACTAAAAAGCATTGTAGGAGATGACTTTAATACATTTTTTTAAAATTTTTGTCTAGAAACAGGGTTTTGCTCTGCTGCCTGGGCTGGAGTACAGTGACATAATCATAGCTCACTGTAACCTTGAACTCCTGAGCTCAAGCAATCCTCCTGCCTCCAGCCTCTGAAGTAGCTAGGACTACAGGCATGTGCCACCACCATGCCTGGCAATTTTTTTTTTTTTTTGTCTAGTAGAGATGGGGTCTAGATACGTTGTGCAGGCTGGTCAACTTGAACTCCTGGCCTCAAGGGGTCCTCCCTCCTAGGCTTCCCAAAGTGTAGAAATTACAGGTGTGAGCCACCAGCATGAGCCTGGCCAATACTTCACTTTCAACAAGGAATAGAACATCCAGACAGAAAATCAAAAAGGAAACATTGGCCTTTAAACCAAATGGACCTAATGGACATATACAGAACATTTCGTCCAATAGCAACAGAATATACTCTTTTCTGGAGCACATGGAACATTGTGCAGGAGTCTATGTTACAGCACAACATAAGAAGACTGATGTTATATCAAGTGTCTGTTGTAATCACAATGGTATGAAACTAGAAAATAATAACAGGAGAAATCTTGGAAAATGCACAAACATGTGGAAATTAAACGACCTGCTCCTGAATAACAACGAGCCAAAGACGAAATCACAGAGGAAACAAAAAATATCTTGGGACAAATAAAAATGAAAATACAACACAATATGAAAATGGAAAAATCTCAAGAAGCAACCTAACTTTACAGCTCAAGCAACCAGGGAAAGAACAAACGAAACCCCAAGTTAGCAGAATAAAAGAAACAATAAAGATCAGTGCAGAAATAAGTGACATTGAGACTTGAAAAACAGCAGAAAAAATCAATACAATTGAGAATTGGATTTTTTGAAAAGATAAGCAAAATTCACAAACCTTTCCCTAAGCAATAAAAAAGACAGAAGACTCAAATAAAAACAGAAATGAAAGAGGAAACATTACAACTGAGACCACAGAGTAAAAAAGATCATAAAAAACTACTGTGTACAGCAACCAATCAGATAGTCTAGAAGAAATGGGTAAATTCCTAGAAACATATACCAAGTATGAATCATTAAGAAATAGAAAATACAGACTGGGCGTGGTGGCTCACGCCTGTAATTCCAGCACTTTGGGAAGCCAAGGTGAGTGGATCCCTTGAGACCAGGAGTTCAAGACCAGCCTGACCAACATGGAGAAACCTCATCTCTACTAAAAATACAAAAAAATAGCAGGGTGTCAGGGCACATGCCTTAATCCCAGCTTCTTGGGAGGCCGAGGCATGAGAATTGCTTGAACCCAGGAGGCAGAGGTTGCATAGCCAAGATTGTGCCACTGCACTCCAGCTTGGGCAACAGAGCAAGACTCTGTCTCAAAAAACACAAAAAGAAAAGAAAAGAAAAACAAAGAAGATAAAAACAAGTATAAATGAGTAAGGAGATTGAATTAGTAATAAAAAGTCTCCCACCAAAGACAAGCTCAAAAACTGATGGCTTCACTGATGAATTCTACAAAACATTTAAAGGACAACTAATACCAGTATCTCTGAAGCTGTTCCAAAAAATTGAAGTGGAGCTAGGATTTCCAAACTGACTTGATGAGGCCAGCATTACTCTGATACCAAAGCCACACAAAGACACTATTTAAAAAACTACAGGCCAATATCTCCAATGAACATAGATGCAACAATTCTCAATAAATACTAGCAAACCAAATTCAACAACACACCAAAAACATCATATGAACAAGTGGAAATTATCCCTGGGATAGGAAAATAATCCATATGATACCCCACATTAACAGAATGAAAGATAAAAACCACATGGTTATCTCCACTGATTCATAAAAATAATTCGACAAAATTTAACATTCATGATTTTTTTCAAAAAAGCTCTCAGCAAAATTGGTATAGACGAAAACTTCCTAAACATAGTAAGGCCATTCATGAAAAGCCTACAGCTAATATCATAATGGGAAAAACTGAAATCTTTTATTCTGAAATCCTGTGCAAGGGAAGGATGCCCCTCTCACCACTTCAACACAGAACTGAAAGTACTAGCAAGAGCAATCAGGAAAGAAAAAGAAATTAAAACATTTAAGTTAGAAGGGAAAAATTAAATTATCCCTATTTGCAGACAGCATGATTCTTTATGTAGAAAACCTTAAAGACTCCAATAACAATTGTTAAAACCAATAAATTTAATAAAGTTGCAGGATAAAAAACCAACACACAAAAAGCGGCAGCATTTCCACACATTAACAACAAACTATCTGAAAAAGAAACCAAGGAAACAACCCCACTTGCAATATCATTAAAAAAATTAAATACTTAAAAATAAATGTAACCAAGAAAGTGAAATATCTGTGCACTGACAACTCTAAAACAATGAAATAAAGGGAAGACACAAATAAGTAAAAAGATAGCCCACGGAGAGCATGACCTGCCAAGGATGAAGAAGAGTTTTATTGAGTATTACAGCAACTCAGAGGAGTGTAGCTCCTCCCTGCAGGCTGGCTGCCCGTGGAGTGCTCAGCTCCAAGCAGACAGGAGGCCCTGGAGAGATTAACTCCTCTCCACAGGCAAGTAATTCGGTGTCTCCGCAGGTCTCCGAGGCTCTCAGCAGAGAAAGCAGCAGCTCCCCCCGGCCTGCAGCTCCCCCCGGCCTGCAGCTCCCCCCGGCCTGCAGCTCCCCCCGGCCTGCAGCTCCCCCCGGCCTGCAGCTCCCCGCTGCCTGCAGCTCCTCCCTGCCTGCAGGTCTCTACCGCTCTCTCCAGCGGCCGTCTGTCCACTCACCTGCCTCCCTTCTTGGGTCGTCCTCCGGCCTCTGCTCTGCCTGGTCCCGGGACTTTCATGACCTCAGAGCGGAGGAAGCACAGGCCGACTGGCCCACGCGTGGCCACGGGCGGGCCTGGAGGAGGCACCGCGAGTCCCCACTCAGGGCCGCAGGACTGGCCGCCCAGCCTTCAAGGCCCGGCCTGACCTGAAAGTGGGACCTTTACTGGGGGGACCTTCCCCCTCCCGCCGAGGACTCCGTCTGCCTCCCGTGGTCATTCAAGGCCCCCAGGGCTCGGCCCTAAACCCGCCCCGAGATCGGAGCAGAGAGAGGCCGGGTAACCGGAGCAGACGCCCCAGAGCCCGCGGGGACAGAGCGGGGAAGGGAGGGGTCCTTCGGGGCCCCCGAGGGTGCAGGCTGCGGAGATGCCCGGGTCCTGCAGGTGAGAGGGCAGCTGTGGCCCCCGGGAAGGCCGAGGCCGACCCTCCCTACGCCCGGCCGTCCCGCTGGAGCCCAGGAGCGCTCGGAGCAGGCGCGGTTCGGGCTGCTCCAGCCCCGTCCTCTGGGTGCGCCTCCTGCCGGCTCCGTAGAGCGCGAGGCCGGGTCGGCAGCGGCGGTTTGGGCGCGGGGGGCTCCGGCCCCAGCTCAGAAGGGGCGGGGCTCCCGCCAGCTCCGTGGACTGTGCAGCCCTAGCCGTGCTGCGAGTTGGCAACAGCTGCTGCCATCAGCAGAGCGGGTGAAAGACCTCAGCCAAGCGGGCGGCAAGGGATCCCCAGCCCCACAGGGAATCTTAATGGGACGACAACGATTCCAGGAACTGGGCATTCCTGCACATTTTTGGTGGGCGTATAAGTTGGTACAGCTACTTCGAGGTCAATTTTTGTAACATCTACCAGTTTATAAATGTGAACATCCTTTGACCCAACAATTCCGCTCCCAGGAATCTGTTCTGCAGAAATGTTTGCGTTAGCACCTGAAGACGCAGGACACTCAGTTCGTCAGTACGTGCGCAGAGGTCGAAAACCATCCACCTGCTACCAGGGGAACAGACATGGTTTATTCGTACTATGGGGTACTACGGCGCTGTACATTTTTATGGTACACAGAAATTTTTACAGGAAGCATGTATCGCTTTGCAATTAAAAAGGAAATGAGGCGGCCACACCTTCCCCAAGTCCTCCTTTTTCCTCAGTTCCTTCAGCTGTGCTTTGGCTGAACCCCTAGCCTCTGCTCCACGCCATTTGTGCCAGGACACGCCCATGCACTCCCCACCCGGCAGACGGCCTGGGAAGGAGGCAGCCAGATGGCTCAACATGTCTTGCTTCCCGGGTGACCTGACCCATGGGAAACACAAGCTGGCACTGGGGAGGGTTGGGCGGGCTCTCTCCAAGGGCTTTATCTCCCAGTTTTCTCTTCCTCTGGGCAGGTCGTCTAGCCCATCAGAACAAGATACCAAGTTCCTCTTCTTGCAGGCATCCCCCAAAGTTCCATGTGATTCTTTTAGGGGCAGCTTGGAGAGTGGCAAGTACTCCTAACTCCATCCCCATGGAGGGCAGGGAATCAGCTCTTCCCATGAGCACCATGCCCAGGGCCATGGTGACTCCCTCTCCAGCCTATGTCCCAGCCCCAGCCCCTCCCAAAGAAATGAGCTCCTCTTTGGACCACTTTTTTATTTCACACATTTCTTTTATTTTTATTTTTATTTTATTTTATTTTTATTTTTATTTTATGATCAGTGCAAACAATTCCATAACATAACTTATGAAGAATCAAAGCATGATTATTTAAATTCAAAATAGACCGTCAATGCAAAATAATATAAGTATAAAAGTGGGTTCATTTGCACACACAGCAGCATGCGTTTCAACACATACGTCCAAGGATGGTGAATGGTTGTCTTCTTCTCTTGAAGACTGTGACAACATCAGATACTACAGTGAATCTGTGTTCACATAAGCCAAAATTTGTTTCTAAAAATACATGTTCACATTTAAACTACTGTCAAGATATGCTTTCCAGAATTAAGCCTCTAGTTTCTAACATCTAAAAACTGATACAAAGCTGGGTTTAGTGGCTCATGCCATAATCCCAACACTTTGGGAGGCTGAGGTGGGAGGATCACTGGAGGCCAGGAGTTCAAGACCAACCTAGGCAACAAAGCAAGACCCCATCTCTATAAAAATAAATAATGTTTTTAAATAAATAAAAGCAGATAAAGTGTTCCAAATGTAACTCTTCTTGTTACTAAAGGTTAAAAAGTAAGTATTTTCAAAAGTAATTTAAAATAATTGTTGCAAGTTTAATAGTGCTGGTCTCTTCCACCTTAACTGCAGGATGGAAGCCTCTGGTTTGGAATCTGTATGCCAGGGCCAGGGCTCCCAACAACTCCACTTCCTGTCTTCTTCCTTCCCAGGATCTTTGTCTACCCTCGCTCCAGGCAGGGCAGTGTCCGGGAATTGTGCTGCTTCCAAAGCCCAGAATTCAGTCCGTCAGGGGCCAAGGCTCAGGGGGTCCTCCACACTGATGAGACTTAGGGGACTCCTCCTCTAGCCAGCGGACCCCTGAGTACCGGCTGCCACAGTCCACATCGGGCCGAGGACCTCTCACCTCCTTTCCCAGTAACAATTCAAAGATTTTGTAGAAAAAGGTCCAAAACCATGTCATTGCTGGGACTCCACGCAGTGGCTGCTGTGGCTGCCTCCCTGAGATGTTCTCCAGTCCTCCTGTGGAGTGTGGCCTTGGAAAAGAGCTGGTCAGCAGGGGCCCTGGGGGAGCCCTGGAACTGGGAAACAGGGAAGCAGCAGGTGGGTTGGGCAGCACTGGCATTGGCTGGGTCTTTCTTGGGCCCGAGGCTGTTTTTGGAAGGGTGAGCCCTGCATAAGCTGGAGCCCAACAGTCATCTATTACTAACCTGAGCGCTCACTGTAGAGCCAGAGACTTAGTGCATCTGACTGCAACTTTTTTTTTTTTTTTTTTTTTTTTTGTTAAAGACAGAGTCTCGCTGTGTCGCCCAGGCTGGAGTGCAGTGGCACGATCTCCGCTCACTGCAAGCCCCGCCTCCCAGGTTCACGCCATTCTCCTGCCTCAGCCTCCCGAGTAGCTGGGACTACAGGCGCCCGCCACTACTCCCGGCTAATTTTTGTATTTTTAGTAGTGACGGGGTTTCACTGTGTTAGCCAGGATGGTCTCGATCTCCTGACCTCATGATCTGCCCACCTTGGCCTCCCAAAGTGCTGGGATTACAGGCGTCAGCCACCGCCATCTGACCACAGCTTTTAACTGTCACCTTCTTGCTGAACAAGTTGCTCTCAGTGGGTCGGAGAAGCAGGATAATGGACAGAGATGGTGAGACTAAGCAAGGTCAGTGCAGAGGAAATGCTGAAGTGTAATTAGGTTTCTCTGTTGACCGTCATGGGGAGGGAACCTCTGGCACAGTAAAAAGGCATCCTAGACTTCTGATTTTTGCTCTGCCATATGAAGAGCTCAGCGGCATCATTCCCACACTTACAGGGAAACAACTGAACAAACTAAAACACAATAGCTCCTCGTATATCACAGGGCAAACTGCTGCCCTGAAAACTGGAGAGAGAGAGGCTGATACAAAAAATCACAACTCACCACGAGCAGAAGCCCAAGAGATGAAGCCTGCCTGGAGCCAGAACAAGTAGGAACAACTAGACTGAAATAAACCAGCTGCTGGAGGCAGAGGCTGGACCAGTCAGAGTTAAAAACCCTAGCCTTGAGGGTTCCCACACCTTCTTGAGTTTTATCTCCACGAGCCCCACCAGGTCCCCACTGTGAAGACTGGAGGGAAATCTCATGCCTCCAGCAGGGGCAGAGGAAAAGCAACCATCTGCAAATGTAGCAGAGCATTCTTTTCTCCTCCAGTTTCCCTGCAACAAAGTCCAGCACACATGGGAGTCTAGATGAAAGCCTGACCTGACCCAGGGAGGGTCAACGACCCAGCCTCTCTAGCCACCCTGTCACATCTAAGTGGGAGGGGAGGTGAGCAGCACGTGTGGAGGTCATACAGCAAATGCAGAGACCACAGAACCACTGAGACCTAATCACAAGATGAGGGAATATTCCCCTCCCCACCTCCATGGCAGCAGGACTCCTGTACAGCAACAGCGGATCACAGTGAGAGACCTGCAAGGCTCAGACTATTTCAGAAGGGCCTTCCAGAGGAGGCAAATGCAACACTAGAGGAAACTGCAGCCTCAGACATCTACGGCTACAGCAAATAGTAAACACAGCATAATTCTCCTAGCGAGATAAACACCAACCATCTCCCTAAAGCCAATATATCTAAGTTCCTATTACCCAATACATCATGTCTGGTTTTCAACAAAACTTTACAAGGCATGCTCGAGGGCAACAGAAAACCATCTAAAGAGGAAAAGAAAGCAGGAGAACCAGATTCAGATATGGCAATAATTTCGAAATTATCAGACTAGGCACTTAAAATAAGTATGATCAATGTGCTAAGGATGCTAATGAAAAAAGCGAACAATATAAAGAACAATGGATAATATAAGTAGAAAGATTGAAACTCTGAGAAAGAATAAAATAAAAAGAGGCTGGCTGCAGTGGCGCACACCTGTAATCACAACACTTTGGGAAGCTTGAGCCCAGGAGTTCGAGACCAGCCTGGGCCACAAAGTGAGACCTTGTGGTTTCTATTAAAAAAGAAAAAAATGGCCAGGCATAGTGGCTCACGCCTGTAATCCCAGCACTTTGGGAGGCCGAGGTGGGTGGACCACCTGAGGTCAGGAGTTCAAGACCAGCCTGGCCAACCTGGTGAAACCCCATCTCTACTAAAAATACAAAAATTAACTGGGCATGGTGGCGGGTTCCTGTAATCCCAGCTACTTGGGAGGATGAGGCAGGAGAATCACTTGAACCTGGAAGGCAGAGGTTGCAGTGAGCTGAGATCGCACCATTACACTCCAGCCTGGGCAACAGAGCAAGACTCCATCCCATAAAAGGGAAAAAAAATTAATTTACAAAAACTATTTTTTTTAATTTTTAAAAAGAAACACTGTAAATGAAAACCCCATAACAGAAATGCTGGATGCCTCTAATGGACTTAGTTGTAGCCTGGGTATGGCTGAGGAAAGAATCTCTGAACTTAAGAACATCTCAGAAGAGAATTTGCTACAGAGAATATCTCAATAGAAACTTCCCAAACTGAAATACAAGAAAAGAGAAGGAAAAACGCCAGAACAGGGCCAGGTGTTGTTGCTCACGCCTGTAATCCCAATGTTTTGGGAGGTGGAGGCAGGAGGATTGCTTGAATTTGAGACCAACCTGGGAAACACACTGAGACCATGTCTCCACAAAAAGTAAAAGTAAAAAAATAGCCAGTCATGATGGCACGTGCCTGTGGTCCCAGCTACTTGGGAGGCTGAGCTGGGAGAGTCAGTTGAGCCAGGAGGTCCAGGCTGCAGTGAGCCATGTTTGTACCACTGCACTCCAATCTGGGCAATAGAGAAAGACCAAGAAAGAAAAAAAAAAAAAAAAAAAGAGAAAAGAAAAACAGAGAAAGGA